ATCAAGGTTAAATGAAACTTTGTCCTGTGCCACTGGCTTGAGAAAATGAGAGCTTTGCCGGCTGTTACTGCTTAGATTTCTAAACTGGTTGCGGACTTATATACTGCCGACATGTCATCTACATGTCGAACTTCCAAAGGTGACATTGAGCCATAAAGTACTATATCGTTTGAGTTTTACTACCATTAGAATATGCTACAGTGTTAAAGAGTTCATTATTGAATAAACTGTCAGAGGAGCTCTAATAATCCGCGAAAGCGAAAGTTTAAACGATAAAATTTCTGTTCACATAAAATTCTTAAGCAGAGCTTCCTATGATGAACTAACTAGAGTTAATGAAATTATTTTCATTCATTGGTTTTGATGTTGTTGTTTCTTAGGCTATAAATATGCACCGAAAGCGAGTGATTAACATTTTGGAGGAGAATCCGAACATCGTTGATTGTTTTCGTAAATGTCCCAAACACGAAGAAAGCAGCGAGTCTGATGAGTAGGTCCCCCATTGCTTTTTCACGCCTCGTTTTTGTCACTGCCTTTACACAGCGAGGAACCGAAGCCGTTCAACCCTAAACGCCGCTTACGCGGCTATTGTCGATTGGTTGACACGTTGCCGAACGACTTCTCAGAGATAAATACTGATCCCAGCGACGCAACGGCACCTGACAGCGTGACCAGTGTCATCACTGCCGGTAAGCGTGAAGGCAGCTAATTTCGTTCAACGTTTTTTTGTGTCATTATTCATATATTCACTTGTCCTGTAACCTGTTCATTTTTTTTGTTTCGCTACAGATTCGATCAACAGATTCTCAAGGGAGCCAAACATGACGTTCAGACAACACTGTTACGACGCGATCATGCGAAGCGGCTCCACGGGCGTAAGTCTAAATGAACTTTGCCGTTCAGGGTTCATGGAACGGAGGTCTGCGCAAAGATTTGTCGACCAGCTCTTGCAAATGGGCTGCGTAAAATCGATCGTAATTGACGATGGAAAGGTTCGGAGGATGCAGTACGTTAAAGTTTGTTCGACTTTAGTTTTGTTTGTGTTTCTAACTACAACGCAAAAGTAATTAAAATTGATATGTTCTCACAGCACTCACGTGAGTAATTTATGAATTGATGTGCGACTGGTAGAAATACTGACACGAAAATAGTTTCTCTGACTTACAGGAATTATAGAAAGTTAGATAGTCTCATTGCTTCGAATAATGACTGGGAAGTGAGTGGTGGTAAATAGACAGCCAGACTGAAAGGTAGCAAAATTTACATTACGGAGAGCAAAATTGGCATATGATTAAGCAGATTTAATAGTCTCATGTACGACGTATTTTTAGTACGCCTTGTAGATGGTAGTAGAAGTAGATGATTAGTAAAGATCCTGGTAAGCAGACTGATAAATTGGTATGCAAGGAAACGGATCAACGTAACGAATTTAGGTGCTGGTGTTTCAGTAGATGGTGATATTCCGATAAAAAAACAAATCGGATGAAAGAACGATAAATTGATATGAGACTCGGTTGATAAAGATAGGTAGTCATCTGGACGGATACTTGGTGAAGTTACTCGAAAGGCAGATCGATGGGTCACTAGTCATATGGTTTAGTTAGTGAATAGAAGAATATGCACATATATATATATATATAAGTAATCTAAATTGGTCTTCAAGCAAGTAAATACACAGTAATTAGACATGCAGACAGACACATATTATTGCTCGAAGTGGTATAATCTTTTGATAAGTCACAAATGGGAAGAATACGCATAAAATGTTCTTTAATTAGGCGCATCTGAGGTTTTGGACCCAGCTCGGTCCATCTTCAAAGTACAAATTTGTGCACATCGCTCTACCTGGATATGATGTGTCTATGGTTGTACATTTATAAGACTACCTGTCTAACCATTTATCAATTACACAGTCCAGCCATTAATGTAATAGCATATTCGTGAACTTTTTTGGTTTTCTGTCTACACGTAATTCTGTCCGTTTATTCGTCTGTCTGGTTGTACATCAAATTACCCGTATCTGTATTCGCATAATCCATTGTGGCTAGATTTAGGATCCACATGATTTTTTCCTTCATGCTTTATAATGGACTTGACTTACTGGATGTCGCACGAGAGGTATCCTCACACTTCTTGTCATCATTTGCTACTGTATTCTGTCCTGGGCAATATCAGATGTCATCGGAAATCACTGTGCCATGTTTGACTCAGTTTGTCGATAGGTAAGACCCAAATGTGTGTCCGCTAGTTCGTCTCTGATGCTATCCAGGCATGAAGTTGTCGGCTTGCCTCTCAGTCCTCTTCAGATTGGTTAGGCAAACTACGAATCATGTTTATCAGCCGCTTGTCGTTCCGTCGCAGTGCGTGGCCGATAAGCGAGAGATTTAGTTTTTAATATTCACCAGAGGGAGAGTTGATATTATTCCCTGTCCGGCAAATATCCTTTATACTTGTTGGCGCAGAATACTCGGCTATTGACTAATTGACAAAATCTTGAACTTGCATATGAGTATATGTTTTTTAACTTCTGTTTATCTATTTGTCATCAGACCAGCCGTACTGAGCGGTCATCCTGACATTATGTTACCTTTTTATATCTGTCGTTTTGTCTACTCACCTAGCTATCTGCAATCTCTGTAACTCTGGTTTTTAGCCTATCTAGGTACCTAATGAAAGCATATACCAGTCGTAATAAAAATACCTCGTAAATCAGATTATCAGATCTTCTTAAGCATATGCCTATTTTACTATTTATGGTGTAAATTTTGCTACTTTTATATTTGGCTTTATGTATTCATTATTCCATCAAATGAGACATTCTCTCTACCTTTCTATCATAAGTCAGAGAAACTATTTTCTTGTCAGTATTTCTGACAGTCGTACATCAGACTACCAGAAAAATCGACATATGTTCATGGGAGCGACGCTAATTGGATGATACACGTGTTAGTAAGTAATCCGTTAAAGCGACGGGTTAATAGACAAATAGCGGGTTAAAATATGGAGGAATGGAAGATGTGCAAATCAGCACAGTAATAGATTGGCAGATGCGTGGAGAAATGGATTTATAGTTGAGAAAGACCTCTCTACGGATAGGCGGATAAGAAGGTAAAGGGTACTCATAAACAGACACGGTATATAGTTTCGCAGCTAACGAGATGGATAATCATACAAAGGCACCTGTAATGTGATAGATAAATCGATGCATGAGTTAGAGAATAGATTCTTTTTGCAGCGTTCATATATTCAAGTGTTTAGTTACATTTCTTCGAACACTCAAGATCAGGTAAACGCCTACCTGGACACGCTACAGGCCAGAACCGGCATCGACTTTCGTAAATGCGCACAAATAGGTAAATTGATATTCCATCACGTTTCATTTTTTAAAGAAATTGTTTGTAGAAAAAATACAAATGTCAGACCGAATGTGCAAGCGAATTCTGATGATTCTCGATTGTTTGGAAGAAACTGCGGTGTGGAAAAGATACGACCTTCTGGAGGTGGAGGGTTCAATTTTCGGAACTTTTTTATTGCTATATTGACTAAGATCATTACACAGAAATGATCAGTATTAAAAAATGATACGGACAAAAACCGGGCTATTTAGCTCTTGAGGTTGCGCCGTAAATTGGAACGACGTCTTTGTTTGAAATAGTCCAGGTTTCAGCAAATTATGCACTCGCTTGCGATATTCGCATGTTCGACATTAAGATGATTTTTGTTATGAAAGTACTTAATCGCAATGAGGCGAGGAGTGAGCTATCGGATAATCTTCTTCGCTGCGCGCAGTCAGACTCAGACCAAAACAATTTCTTTTCGCTTCTTATACCGGTAGTTGGTCCAGTATGGATACTCGCTGTCTTTATTCTTTCTGTCATGTTCTATCCAAGATAGTTGCCCTTTGTGCATTAAGACAAGCTGGTCTATTCTGTAGGTATAAAGTAATCCACTTGGTTGCCATATCTTTTCTGGAGACTATTGACTCATCTGCATGCCACGTTTTTTGTTCTGCTTATCCTTTGTTTTATTTAGATCTGTAGTGTTTTTGTTGCCATAAAGTGAAAGATAATTTGAATCGTTATCCCCCGTTTTCATGCACAACTTACACCACGTTGCACATCATCACCGAATTTTATTTGTAGCGTTTGCGACAGCGGGAAATTGCTGAAGAATATGTGCATACAATTGACAGAATGACGCTAGAACAGCTGGGTAGGTTTCTGGCACACCGACGCCTGATGAGGATCTACACAACTCTTCTGAAGGACGGCAGTCGTGAAAGAATTGTGGGAATCGCATTATTCTTACGCTCAGCTTATTTGCATTGATTTTTAGGTAGAATATTTTTGCTCACCAAACGTAAGGCGCAATGACGAAGGTCTAATCGAAAGGATAAAAGCGGCGCAGAAGGCTTTCGCTTACTCATACACTGGTGAACCTGAGAAACAGATGAATTGGCCTGCACATATAACCGGCGAAATCAGTAATGGATTAATGAAGAATCAGCGAAAAGCCACTGCAAAGATAACCCAGGAAAGTCGCAAGCGACGTGCAACTTCTACTACGCAGGCGATTAAAAGGCGGATGATATCCATCATCACTCCAGATAAAGTGCGTATTCAGACGGGAAGCATCCTCTAATAATGCGTGATGGTTAAATTTTAAAGTTGGCCAAAATCGAT